GTTGAATCACAGTCGGGAGTCCGAGTCAGTAGTCGAGTCAGAGTCGGGAGTCTGTAGTCTGATACGGGCTTTAGAATGGCATCTCTTCCCGAGTCGGCAGTCAAGCCTATCACACAATGCCAGGCAACAGGCAATGGGAATAGGGAATAGAATTTTTGACGCGTCGGATTCGTCGGAAATTTTCTTCCAGCCAATCCAACGCGTCAGAAATTCTATTCCCTGTTCCTGTTGCCTGGTGTTGTGTGATAGGCTTCGGAGTCGGCCGGTGCTTTGCTGTGATTGGTTGAATCGTAGTCGGGCGTCAGTAGTCGAGTCAGAGTCAGGAGTCTGTAGTCTGATACGGGCTTAACGGCGGTCAATCGCCGTTGTTAGAACGCTGTTTTGTCATTGCGTAACTAGCGGCGGTCACGAAGCAAGCGGATAGCCGTGGGTCGGCCGGCGCGGCGCGCATTTTGCATAAATTACGCGTTCTTCTGTCCGGCCCGGTCGCGTGATCGCGCGACGTTATTGTCGAAATGACGTTGCCGCGGGTGAGGCGGGCCACCGCTGCAGGCGCGGCAAAACAAATAGGCCGGCGGCACGTGAAACGTAATGTGTGCACGAGACGTTTGCCCCGCGAGCGAGCGAGCGTGCCGGCTCGGTTCGGTTCCGGGCTGCCCCGCGACAAATTTCATCTCGATCCGCGCTCGCGAAACGGCCGCGGGACGCCGATATCGACGCCGTCAGTTTACCGCGTGCGGCGTTCATTATTTCCCCTGTCAAATCAAAACCCCCCACGTACCGCCGGAATACGTTTACGCCGTTTACGGGGTATTCGAGATACGTCGGATTTATTGGATCGTTGCGCGCGTGAGACGCCGCCAGGCGCTCCCCGGCTTTCTCGGACGCTTTTATAAATACCTGCGATTCGGATGCTATTTCAAATGGTATTGTAAAACCGTTCGGGTGACACGGTTTCCTCGCAAAAATACGCCCCGGTTTTTGAAACATTTTTCGCGCTGCAAACGTTTGCTCAACTCGCGTCTAGTGTCTTATAATAGACACGGGCGTTGTGAAAACAGTCCGTGGCATAAATTCTAGGGGCAGTAACGCGAACGAGCAAAAATAAATATCACCGTGCAGAATTTAACGCGATGTAGCGGCAAGGTCTATCGGCAAAAAACAATTTAATATTGTCGTAGGGCGGTATTCATGGTCCGTTCTTTTATTTCAGTTCATCTCAAGTGTAATCTTAACGCGTTGTAAACTAATCATCGGCCGGTATTCATAGTCGGATCTTATTTAAGACCGCCTCGAGTTTATCTTAAGATGCTGCACGGACCATTTTATTGGCTACCAAGTGATGATCTTAAATATAAGTTTTTCTTTAATTAGAATTGGCCAGCCATTGGTCGTCATGCAATTTTTCTACATTGCTTAATCATTTACTGGCGTTAAATAATTCTTTACCTTCAATATAAGATCTGGCCATGAACAGTCCGTTCTTATATTCAAGATTATCTTACAAAAATGTTTCTTTGAATCTACTAAAACATTTGCTGGATTTGAAAAAATAGACGCGAACTCTCTTAGAACTACCGAGCAAATAGAACTTTGATTGAGGCGAAGGAATCATTTCTCTGAAATTAAATAAAAAGTCTATTAAGGCGAAAATTCAAACAGACCCTTTCCCGGGTGTAGTCTTGGCGCGTTGTAAACCAATCGCGGGTCGTATTGACGTCTTAAAACATTACCTAGGACCATCTCGGGGCAAGAACGAACGACGAATGTACCGGCCATAGAAATTGACACGAGAATGGACTATGAATACCGGCCGTGGTTGACTCCGGGCGTTTCATTGCTGCAACCTCGATTGTTACGACTGTCAATGGCAAAGTTTATTGACACGCTTTCCCCCTTTCTATCCCTCTCCCCGCGCGTCCTCCGAAGCGCTCGCTCCGGCGGTGACAATTTCCGCGAATTCGTAGCGTATGAACGCCGGGGATGTTTTACCGCGCGCACGTACGCCGCCGAACGAGTCGCGAATCGCCACGGCGACTTCTATCGCCAGACCCGCGGGCCCGTCGTCCCCGGGTTAGCGTGCCCGAGGAGCCCAGCTGTTGCGAGAGGCCCGGCTGATTCAGGCTCGCGATATTTATGCACGAAAATCGGTGTCGCGACACCGGGCGGCGTGGCGTCGCGGTCGGTTCGACGCGCGGCGCGGCGCGTTCGATTCCGCGAACCGCTCGTAAATTTCTCGCGCGGACGTTCGTTAAAGGAAACCCGAGAAGTTCGTCTTGAGAGACAGGGAGACACGGGGAGAGATATAGAAAGACGGAGGGAAGAGAAAACGCCGTACTCTGTGCGAGAGGCGCGGACAAAAGATGAATTCGAGACCGATGACCTTTCTCCCTCGAGGGAAAGAAGACACGAGAGAGAGAGAGAGAGAGAGGGAAGAGCAGAGAGGGAGGGAGGGGAGCGAGGCGGGCGGGAGGGAAGAGAAGAACGAGAGCGCGAGACGAGGTGAGGAAAGAGCGTTCGGGAAGGCGCCGTTAGTCGATCGAGCGCTCGATGACTGTTTAGCATTCCGCTCCTGCCGGGGAGGAGGGGAAAATAACGCGCCTCGGAAATCACCTGGTACGGCGGCGATCGACCGGCGGTGCCAGTTTTCAAACTCGTTTCGTCTCCTCTCCTCTTCCTCCCTCCGTCCGCGTCCACGTCGTCGCCGTCGCCGTCGCCGTCGCCGTCGTCGCCGTCGTCGTCGTCGTCGTTGTTGTCGTCATCGTCCTCGCCGCTGTCGTGCCTCCGCTCTTACGCGCTCACCGCGATCCCCCACTCCACGTCTACCCTTCACGCGGCACTCTCCGCGCTCGCTCGCGGCCCCGGCCCGTGCGTCGTGTCGGGTCTTTCCTCCGCGACCAGGTCCGCGCGCGGAGAGGAGTAGACGCGGCCGTCCGAAGGGCCGTTCGCGGCCGGGGAGAATAGTAACGACCGTAGGATGACAGCTCGCGCGCAAGTAGGTCAGGTACCGGAGCGGAGTGAGAGTGCGGGAGGGAGAAGGGGGGAGGAGGGGGAGAGAGAGAGAAGGGGGAGGAGGAGGCGGCGGAGAATGGAGCGGAGCGAGACGGTAGATCTATGTCTCTTTCTCTCTCTCTCGTCCCTTCGGAGCGGATTTGTGGCTGGCGAATCCTCCGGCGCGCCGTGTCCCGGCGACTCACCGCTCTCCCGAGGACCCTTTATCGTCCCTCTCCCTCTCCCGCCCCCCCCTCCCCCTCTTCCCACCGCCCCGGTCCCGCGAATCAAGCGCGACGAGACGCGACTCACCTTGCTGCGTGCGGGGCTGAGGTAACGGCCCGTGACGATTTGAAACGGGCGCATCGAACACACTCCATGCCTCCTCTCCTGTCAGGCACCAGCGGCACGAGAGCACACCGCGAACCACCGTGGGCCCCGTGTCCGTGTGTACGTACGGCGAGTGCGTGCGTGCGTGCGTGCGTGCGTGCGTGCGTGCGTGTGTGAGAGGCGCGCGCGGGGAGGGTGCACGCCACGGTTTTTTCGGGGGAGGCTTTCACAATCGGCGGGGGGCGCGCGGACGCGCCGTCGCCGGTCGGACACGGGCGGCGGGCATTGACGCGTGCGAAACGCGGACGGTCACGACGCGGAGGCGCGAAAAACAGGAAAAACACGAGAGTGCGACACGGGGTAGTCGCACGGTAGCACGTCGCGTCGCGAGATACGCGTGCGACTCGGCCGCGCTCGGCCGCGCTCGGCCCGGCTCGGCCCGCCGAGCCGCCGAGAGCGGCCGCCGCCGTCGCACGCTGGCGACGCCGCGCGCCGAACGCGCGAAGCTCCTCCGAGCGCGCTGCGATATTCATTGGAGGCGATCACGAGGCGCGCATTTACTCGAGGGCGGCGAGGGATGAATTACCGCGGTCAGGGGAAAATTTATTATTCCCGAAACTGTTCGCGGACGAGAAGAGGGACGATACCTTCGGGCTTAAATATATAAAGATCCGTTCTTGGATGAAAGTTGTCTATCGAGAGAAATTTTTCTACATTTTTTTTTATTACGAGATGTTAAGGTAGTTATTTCGTAAAATCGTTTACTTGAGAATTGTTTCAAATTTTTACAGTTCATTCTTTACATTAATAAGCGCAAAATAAGACCAATTAAATTAAAATTGACCGACTCAAAGTTCTAGGAAAAAACGTTAAAGTTTGCGACGCTACATGAAATATTACGTGTAAAACTGTCTGAAAGAAACTTTCGAGCGTTACTGTCGCGAAACAACTGCCTTGCTCTTCGTCTAAATATTCCTTTTACGGAAGTCAACGCCAGGTTTGCGTTGCGTGATAAAAGAATTTTATGCCACAGATCTTTTCAACAGTTTTTCAACACTGCGCGTGCGTTTGGCGACTGTTTCTTATGAAGTTGGTTTTTTTTTAAGGGATTAAAAAAATTGCCAGCGGCGAGATTCGACGGCATTCCTTTCAGGGATGAGAATACGAGGAAATAATAGCTGCTCGTCGAATAACAATGCGTGCATACCTAATGATGATGTGTTGACTTCGACGAGAAAGAATTTCGGCCGGGTCCGTCGCGCGGGGTTAACTTTATGCCGACATCGAAATCGCGACATTGGCGCGCGACTGCACACGATTGTTCTCGTCGTCGCGAGCACTTTGCGGGGCGCGTCCGATAATTCGTCACGCGCGAGACTTGCTGCTGGAAATGATCGCGAAAGCTACATAACACGTCGAAGAATACGCGATCCGTTCGCGAGCCGTTGCACTACTACGTTTGGGCGACACTTCGAGGTTCTCAATATCGCAATATCGCAATATCGCAACGGTCGATATTCTCGAGGTATCGAAACTTTTTAAGTGTAAGCTGACGGCATTTTTCACATCGTAATTTTCGCAAAAGCCTTTTGGCTGCAGTTTACAAGAAATTAATACAAATGTAATTTGTGCAGAGAAAAGAGAGAAACAGTGCAGTTAATGCGCTGCTATTAGTGCTAAAGTAAAATGTGATGTATTTTTTATAAATTATTAATAACAGCAGCATTGTTGTATTAACTGTATTGTATAACATTAGAAATGCTTAAAATAATGTGTTACTTGCAGCAATTTGTTTTATTTCTTCTGTTCAAAGAGCGAAATACTTCAAACTTGTAGAAATAATATTAGAGATTTATTTAATGTTTAATCGCTAATACATTTTTCAGAGAATATTTTGACAATCTCTGTAGACTTCTTGTTTAAAATATCAATTTATAACGCTAATGAAATACGCGCGAGTTTTATCAAACGTATATATTTATTCGCAATATATAAAATTAAGTACGATCGTGTCATAATTTATCTGACATCATAACAACGTATTGTTCACATGCCAAAACTTGTAATAATTTATCCCTGTACGTCGGATCCAAAATTTCTTCCAGCTCCTTTTCGAGTGTCGGCTGGTTACTCCTATAATTACGTACGATTTCTTTAAAAGACGACAATGCAGGGAAATCGGTATCCAAACGAAAATTTATCCATCTGACAACATCCGGCGGTAATGCGTTATCAATGGAATATCGCTGCGTTATCGATTTCGTTAGATCGAAGCACAATTTTGATATCCTCACGGGTTCGAAGACATCGTAATTCCTACACTTGTTAAATACCTATTGGTAAAAATTCAAATTACAATCTTATATAAGCATAGAGAATATTATATGTAGCTAGAGATTCTTCACTGTGTCCCGCACACACTCGCTTACATCGCTTTCATCCATTTCGTAATCCGTATCTCCTAACAACGAGACGCTCCAGCAGAAAAGGGCGCCAACTGCTATCCCGGGATATTTATCCGCGACCATTTCGCTGAAGCTCTGAAAGAACGCCGACAAAGTTTTCTCAATGCATTCCAATTCGTTGCACAGTTTGAGTCTGTACATCAGCTTGGACGCATCGCGCCGAATGTCCGCGTTATCGTCTACTAATAATTGTAACAGCATTGTCCACCAATCCAATGCGGGATCTGTAAAGAAATTTTTACATTACGTTGCTACACAAGTCCAATTAGCTGCTGAATTCCTCAATTTATACACACGGCAATATTCGGCACCAATGTCCCTCTCAAAAAGTTCGTACAATATATCGAGAACTGTTAATCTAAAATCTTTACGTAACGAGCCGACCCAACTGTTGTCACAGACTTTTCTATAAATATCCTCTATGTGTCCCGTTCTAAGCTCCTCTTCCTTAAAATAGATATAAAAATCTATAGAGAAAGATCACATAAATATATTGAATGTAACAAAAATTAAAGAAGAGAGGTAAACTCGAAAAAGTAAAAGTGGAATAACGAGCAAACCTTCAATTCATGAGTTAATGTCGTCATACATTTCCCTAGCAGTCGCAAGTAATTGACGCGTTGAGAATAGATATTTTTTGCATCGTGCAGATGCATTTTCCTGAGAACCAAATTACAAATTTCACGTTTATCGTTCAGGTAACATTCGTTTGTGTCCATCAAGCTGTTGTATAAAAAGTCGCAAACCGCATCTTGCAATTTAGGATTATATTTGTACAAATCTTTGGCGAAATCGGCAGCCGCGCGAATAGCGTAAGTGCTCAGTAATTTTCTTTGCCGATGAGATCCCTTCTTCAGTACTTCAAAAACAGTAGACCAAGCAATGCTCTGTGTCTCGGCTTCTGGTACGATCAAAAGCTGCGAATATATGCTGAACGCTTTGCTTTGCCCATTGTGCACTGTTTGCAAGAAATTCGAACGGTTCTCCACGCAAAGTATGAATTTGATCGCGGACACTTTGTACATTTCTTCACCCGGTTCTTGTCTCAATAGGTCTTTCTCGACTAAGTGCTGCTGCAGAATATGCAATATATCTTCCATATTACAACTTTCAATCCTAAAAACATGAAGAATATATTAGTATAAATGTATAAAGTCTATCTGAAGTTTTCGGGAAATTTTATCTCTTACATATTTTTGTCTAAATTATATAATTCATGAAGGATGTCGATGTATACACTAGCTATGAGAAAGCAACTAAGCCTAACGGCTCTTCTTCTTTCCAATCCATTCAATACCCAATCTGTCGCGCGTATAAAGTTTGCGACATCAGATTTTAACAGCTGCACGCGGATGGATGGCAATCGCCTGAAGATCTCTAATATCTATAAAGTTGCAGTACAATTTAATCAAGAGTTAACATTCTAGTCTATATTCTAATAAATATACGCTTTAATATCGTTTTTAGTATTTTTACATTATTTAATATTTTTATAATTTTCTATTCTCAATTATTCATAATTATTTGTATTCTCAATTGTGTCAAAGTGTGTGCTTGCCTGTAGCAAATAGCCATGCGAGAGATTTGCCGAGATCCGGGTATCTCGTGCTGTACATAAAGCTAGAAATAATTGTTTCACAACGTTGTGGGCTGTACCCTCTGTTAATAACGGCACGAGTGCTCTAGCTGCAAGTTCACGTGTTTTATGTACAGGGCTTTTAGCGCATTGCGATACCAAACTAACAAATTCATTTATCTGGAAACACACCTGCCGTCATATCGTTCGTCTCTAACTGACAGCGGAAAAATTGGATTGTTCATAAGCACCTTCCAGGCAATGTCCGTGCCGTCAAAATGATAACTAATGTACAATCGTGATAGCAGCAATAAAATTGCTTGCACGTTGGATTTTATCACGGTACCATTAATCAACGCGAAAGTGTGCAATTCATTCAGAATGAAAGGTAATAAACTAGGATATCTTTCGAAAAATATTCTCCCCGTCATTTTGTTATCCGTCGTCAAATTGATGTGATCCTTGGTTCTTTGAACGCCAAAAATTCGAATTATAAGTGCGCTAAACAATAACGTGGCCGCGTTACGTTCCTATAATCCGATTGGAAATGATTTTCCACATAAGATAGTAGATAACAGAATAACATTAATAGTTTCCATGTAAATAATGTGTAACGCCACTCACCGCCCACGTTCTACTTTCGTAATTTCTAAAGGCAACCATCAAACCGTCCGCAATATAACACTTGACTACATCCCCGAGCTGAGAGTGTCTGAATAAAGCTCTCAGAATATTCATGGAATGAGTCTTTATCTCGGTCATATCAAGCTTAACTTCTCCGTACTCGCTCCCGTCTTCTACTATCGGTTCGGCTAAATGCTCGTACGTGGAAAATACTGTATTTCGATACATTATGCTCTTTACTTGATGCCATAGATTAACTGTGCTCTCAAGCTGCGAGAACTGTAATAAAATTTTCATAACCGAGTGAAACGCAGACACTCCTGAATTATTACGGACTTTTGGTTCCGAGGACAGCACTGCCTGTTTTGAAATAAATTCGTTTTAGTGTTACAGTTTCTTAATGTTTCTTCTTTTTATATAAGATCTGTTTCTTTTGCCCATACCTGTATCAAAAACGGTACACCCGCGCTTCTTCTCGTCGCACATAGTTTCGTATATCCCGGCATTAATCCCGTAATGCCCACTAAAATATCGTGCAACCAATGCATAGGAAGTGCGTTTAGAGCCGTGTTCGTTAATCGCCACAGCCGCGTGCATAATTGATGAAAGCCAACGTACGCTTGTTCAAACGCACCTCTATGTTTCGTTTCGCACAATAGCGAGACTAAATGTTTCATTACACGCTCAATCTGTTAATACACATTATCCCTTTATGTCTCGCTAAGATATGAAAGCATGCGTAAATACGCGTGAACTCACTTGTTCCTCTGTTAACAATCCGTTTAAAGATTCAGAGGTCTGTATCGACGCCTTGGTGGCGAATAAACCGAACAATTGGCTGGCTTCTTTAACAGTGCGCCACGAACAAAGTAGCACCATTTGTGGCGTTACAATCTCCTTCTCGGGAAATGACGCGTCGTCTAAACTTAGCGCCTTCAAATCCATTGGTAAATGCCCTTCCGGTGAAGAATTATTTACCACCACAGAAACAGTGTGATTCAATTCAAGGCACAGCAGTATAACATTAGCTACGGTGCTTTGCCACAATTCGCTCGTCCCTGTGTCTCTGAAGCGGGAATAAAGTGGACATTTTAAAAGAAATGATTTTTTCAACGCATTTACGATGCCCGTATGACTCTTTTATTACCTCAAGTCGCAGTCTACGAGCAAGCTTTTGATGCAGAACAAATATCCATACAAAGAATTTTTAACGATTGCCATTCCTATGTTCTTTTTGGCTAAAACCAACGCCTCCTGAAAACAAAAATAAGGCAACACGGTCAGCAGATATTGTAAAATTATTCTTTACGTCATTAAAATAAATACCAAGTCTTATACATACCTGCAATTTTCTGTACAGCAGTAATACTAGTTGCAACGTCGTCGCTTCCGCGACATTGTCTTCCACGGTGCAGTAGTCGCAAAGTATACTTTTTATAACGGGGGACAGCTTGGACAATTTTAGCATGTACGCGGCCGTAGCGCTGTCTATGGGCCGTACACTGCTACCCAATTTGAGTGCGACTTGAATAATTAAACGAACCCGCGGTTCTGAATCGAGGCGCAGCAACACTGGGCTCAACGGTTTTATTATCCGATACGCCATTTCCTTGTTCGGCTCGTATGTGTCCAGCAACAGACACTGGAATATCGTCTCGGCTTGCTCCCTCTCCCATTCGGCGTCCTTGAATTCGTCGCAAAGGAGTTCTTGCGCCAGCAAGAGTATCTGCAAGCTGGAACGTCTGCGATCGTACGTCGCGTCTGGGTACAAATTGCCCACGCAAGTCTCGCGCAGGTTTACGAAAAACGTGACGTAGTCCTGCACGTCGCGTTCAATTTGCCCAGACGTTTGACGGGATTGGGCCAAAGCGTCCTCGTACATCTCGCAAGCGGCGTCTTGTTCCTCGTAGCGACTTCTCATTTTCAGCTCTTGAGACAATCGCCTACGCATGACCGCCAGGCTGTCTTTCAACCGTTTTAAAGCCTGTGGAGAGCGACAACCTCGATCTAACACGAGTGTGACTTCAGCGAGAGCCAATGTTGATGTTTCTCGTTACCTTTTTGACAAGGGGCACATATTCCATCTTCTCGCACAAATTGTAGCCCAAGAATAACAGAATCACGTCGAGTTCCATGCGCGTAAAGTGCAACGTGCTTTTCTTCGATTCCACCAAGAGTGCCAGCATCTCCAGTCTGCACTGCACAGCAAAGGCAGACACGTGCAAGATCAACGCCGCTTAACTGTAGGCTCAGCTTAATTCGTTATTTGTTTCTTTCCAACTGTTACTTTAGAAAGAGACAAACGTGAATTACTAAGATTAAAGTCAAGCGACGTTTGGTGAAACCAGGCCAAGAGTTGGAAACAGATGGGAAGTAACCGAGATTGAAATTAAACTACATTGATAGAAGTGGACACAAGGTCCAGTTTCACAAACGTCTTGGGTCTGGTTTCGCCGACGTTGTTTAACTTTAAGCCTAGCTTAATTCGTTCGTTGTCTCCTTCCAGCTGTTACTTTAGAAAGTGAGAAACGTGAATTAAACTAGGATTAAAGATAAGCGACGCTCGGTGAAACCGGGCCTTAGATAATAAGCTAGAAAAAGGTAGGAAGTTAACTGAACCCTGGTTAACAGCCGACGTTTGTGAAACTGAAACCTTGATCCTCGTTTCTACCAACGCAGTTTAACTTCTAATCTCGGTCCAACTTGCTCCACATCTTTTCCTCGCGATTTACAAAGTAGAAAAGAGTTAGTAAACCGTTACCTCCTCGCTGCGATGCCTGGCACACGCTTCCAAAACGCTGTACTCCAAGGCATCCCGCCACTTGACGGTCTGCCGCGCGAGTCTCTCGTCCGTGTCCAGCTCGCCCTTTTGCTTCGACACCCGCAGGCCGCTCAGCAGCGCGCGGAGCTCGGTCTCGTTCATACTTTTCGCCTCCTGCATTATTTAGAGGCCCCGCGCGATATCGCAGCAACGTGGCCGGAGCACCCTTTCACGTCGGAGCGTGTTTACTCCGGGACACATGGCGATTTAACGGCACGCTTTTACCGATACCCGCTAATCTCTCTACCGGTAACCGCCGGCTATCCGGCTGATGCGGACATCTGTCCGCCCAACCGCTAGAATTTAAGTTCGTTATACGCCCTGTCACCACAACCACGAGATAACATCGATCTCTTGGCGCACAGGAAAATCGTTCGTCGTTGCGCCCGTTTATTCAAATATACGGACATTACGGACCGAGGAGATAATAAATGAGCTTTGTGCGTTGGCACTTTGAGCTGCATTTTTCAATTTAGGAAAGATAGACTCTGTATAGGAAACGGTTAATAAAAATAAAGGCAATAGTCCTTGGGAAAATGTTGGAAAACCTTAAAATGTTACTTTAGACAAATGGAAAAATATGAAATTTGGACACGCAAAACTTTCACTTAAGGCTTTAAAGCTTGCTTAAAAATTTTTTAAGAAAACTTTAAGAATTGCGGAAAGTATGTGATATAATTTATACTACCGCGTGCGGTTTTTCTTCTTACGAGAGAAAGTGCTTCTACAGGCTCGGCTATCTAGAAATGACTTTAAGTGTCCAAAATTACTCTAAAATTTCTTAAGTAAACTTTTAACTTCACTAAGTGAACTCCTAGAATTGAAAGATTACTTAAAAAAAAACTTTAATTTTATTTCCAATAAATTTTCCCAAGGCAGGAGCCAACGCTAGATATTAGGTAAAATATATCCCAGTGAACATAACAACGGTATAAAGTATATGTTGAAAATTAAACGTCAAACGCGACTCTTCAACAACATACAAAGACGCAAAATCGTTATTTGGATTAGCTTAGAAAGTATTCAAACAGATATGTTCTCATCGCCCTTATTTTATGTTCATTATTCATCTATATTTTCAACTAAAATGTTTTAAAATTTATTAAATTTCTGCATTACGTAATTACTGCAGTTCAGGGTGGAGGATGTTTTATTGGAGCGACGTTTTATACACGCACGTAAATTGTCTTTGCGATCGATTGTGTCAACATTTTCTTACATCCTTATCTGGGGGGAAACAGTCATATTTTCGAACCGCCGGTAATTTTAAGTATTAATTTAGTAAGCGGTATAAAAGAAAGAACACAAGCCTCGTCTCATACGGCACAGACTTCCAGGGACGTCCTCTAAATTCTATATACATAGAACGTTCCTTGGAGTCTTGTGGGACGCTATCTCTAATCGAATCTAATTTTACGGGGGGCGCGTAATGGATTTCTCGTCCTCTCGTAATTTCTATCGTCTCCTTTCTATTTTGAATTTTTTTCTAATTTAGATAACCGCTTTTGATAACAACGATCGAAAGGTCTACGTTTTATTTTTTTTCTCTACTGCGAGTAACCGTTTCGAATGTCTCGCCACGACGTGTGTCTTCCGCCACCGAAAGGATGCATCTCTCGCGAATGCAGCATTGTCTAGCGCGCGCGCACACATAGCAGCTTTGATATCCCACAGTATAATCTGCACTTACATTTGTTCTGTTGGCGAGGCTTATCTCGGTGGCGTATATTACATATATCTCCGGTACGCGCGTAGACGAATGGCTATCACTAAATTTAGAAGGCACGTTACAATCTTCCGTTGGCCTTCACGTCGCACGATGTGTCACGTCCCGCCATCAATTTGACGCCGGCCTCGCGAGAGAACCTTTGTTTTAGGCGACTTCTAAAACTCTACTCGCGCACCGCTATTACGCCTTACGAAAGGCAAAAGTAATTTGTGTTAATAAAGGAAGTTTCCTGTAGCCAGTTGTGTCGGATTATTCAACCTAATTGTTAACTAATTACTGGTGACTCAAATATTCCCAAAATTTGCAGAAGAAAATGTTGTGACGCAAGCAGGACTGACGTTCGTCATTTCGCGAAAAATACAGGGTGTCTCATTTTAAATGATCCACGCAAATATCTCGAAAAATGTGAAAGATACGGAAAAACGTTTCAAACAAAAGTTGTTTGGTTCGAAGGGAAACACAAGATGGTGCCATTAAATTGACGTTGGATAGTTATTTAAAGGTCACGTGAAGGTCACCTTCAATTTTTTTAATGGAACTCCCTATTGTTTATTACACTATCTTATTCTACTAATTAATGTGAACAACTTTTGTCCAAAACATTTTTTGATTTGCCTAATACTTTTTGAGATTTTCAAGAGAAAATTTATAACTTCTTCAATGTTTAGCTTATGATATCTCGATAACTGTTTGTCGGAGGGGAAAAGTAGTACAGGACTTTTTTTACTTGATTTAGTCTCAGGAATATGCTGTTGCAATTGTGCTCCAATTATTGAGAATTTTGCGTATGTAAATTTTACGTGTTACAACATAACATAACTCATGAGAAAATGATGAAAGAAACATTCCCGCTTTTATCTCATCGAGAATCACATTAATATTGTCGGATTAATTATATATGATCGTGATGCATCGTTTAATAACGACGATTATTTTTCGTTTGAGATATTAATTGTTAATACTGCCAACCGTCGAAATAAAAGCCTCTTTCGCATATTTTTAATATTTAATAATATTAACATGTTTAAATTTGAAATGAAATGATTTGCAATATTATTATAGAAATGTCTTTTTTAATATTAACACTATTACGATACATTTTAATTATTCGTACGTGTTATAATAGTATAAGTGACAAAATATTATTTCTTGCTTTATATTGCATGATATAAAAGTAATATACGCTATTTATTTTAATATATTCTTTTACATTATGTTTCACCAGGCAGCAAAAATTGAAAAAAAAATTTGTAAAACGAGTCTCCTTGTCACTTCGTTAAAAATTCTTTTGCGCTGTTAAATAATCATGTTTAAAATCACATGGCAAAAAGCTCTCGTTTCGCAAACTTAATTACAAAAGATAGATTCTACCGTCATTTAAAAAGTTCCAATTTCGCTTCAACAATCTTCGTTCATTACGAAACAATTTCGGTGAGTATCTAGTCTTACGATGCTCCGGCATTATTAGGTCATCCGCTGCAATTATTATATAATGTTATCCTGAAATCGTTTCCCTTTTATGAATCTTGAGATAAATTTGCACGTGGAGCGCGCCCCGTTGAAAATAAAACAAAACTGGGGAGAAAAGTGTTTCCCCGAACAACGTAACATTTAAAAGATTCCGTAAAATGGCACCGTGAACACCTTTTAAGACGTCTCATAAATCTTCGCGGCATCTTTGCGCAGTCCGCGCACCCACAGAAAAAATGTCCGGATCCAATGCTATTACCTTGAATGTGTCATAAAATAGGATCGATATAGGGCCACTCATATTTATTATAGAGGAATATTTTACTCTTACATGAAAAATTCTAAAATCCAGAATAAAATGATAGTATGTATTGTCTTTTGTCGAATATCGTGGCGCCAACTTCGTGCGTTGTAAGATGGAGGGACAATTTATTCTAAACGCAAGAACAACGACAAGTTACTCTTGTCTCAATATAATAAGTCAATCTGTTTTAATTCGTTAGAGGAGCATAAGAATTATTGATTTTATTTCGATATTGTCTTACTTTTGTACTAAATGAGGTTGCGGGAAATATAAATGCGTCAAGAATATTTTTTGTCTCGGTAACAGAAATCCTTTCTAAGCGTGCGTGCTCCGTCCGTAATTGAGCACAAATGACAAATTCTATGAAAATGTGTATTTTACACCAAGGCGTTTGTCGCCATTAGCATCGATGTTCTTTTCGATCACTCGTGCGGCGAGTGATCATTAAAATTGGATCGTGGAAAATCGACTTTCACAAAGGGCGCGAGAAAACGTGAGAAATGCGTTACGTGGCTCTCGTAAAATTAGACCCCCGATAGGAGATTCAGATAAGAGTTCAATTGCGCGAAAGGGGCGATAAATTTCAATGTAAATGATACTGCGATCACACGCGCGAAACAAAAGTCAGTATTACATCACCGCGTCGCACGTAACTTAGCTTCTTGTTTGCCTGTTGCTGAATGCGAGGTCAAGCACAGACGACGATGTAATATCGTCGTTAATGTACGAACCGCGAGTGCACGGGGGAGGAGATGGATCTTTGGGAATTACGGCGGGAGCCGTTGTGTTTCGTTATTTTAATTGCGCGTCATCGTGGGAAGAATCCCAGAACGTTGCCGACTATTCTCCGACCGAAGTTTCTCCCTCGCGTCAACCGAAAACGCGGCCACGTGATTCCCTGAGAGCCATGTAATCTGCGTAATTAATCATCATTTAAATTAGCGCGACGACTCTTTTTTATTTACCATGCACGCTAGTGCCAGCTCGAGATTTATTTACGCCGCTCGCTCCGCAATGCCGGCGAATATAATCTTCCTCTTCCCGAGCGCGCAAATAGTTGAGCTAATGGCCACGTTTTAAGGAAATGACAAATATTTGTTTCTCGCCTCGGGCGTGCGAAATTATTTAATTGGATCTGTATACAAATGTACATCGATTAGATTCAATTGCTAATAGTTCGAGCCTCGTACGAGGATTTAATTTCCTGAATCTATTTGGTTAACCACAAATAAAGTAGAGGTTAATCGTTCTTTTGGCTATATTTTTCTTACGTTTGCATTCTCTCTTCTTTATTTCTATAAAGTGTAGACAGATACGTGTTTCACCTCTTAAGTGCACAAACTTAAGAGGTCTATTAAACCAAAGCACTGGTATTATAAAAGAGGTGCGGAGAGAAAAAAGGAGAGTTTCGCAGAGAAAAGAGAGACGAGAGTTCCAGAATACAAAATATTATTTCGTACCTTCGCATTTTATTATTTCAAATATTGTATACAGTAAAGAAATTAAAATAAAGTAAAAAGTAACGTTCAATTTTAAATTGCAAATTTTGTTTGCAGGACTATATTATCCATTTACATTTGAAAAAGACAATAAAATAATAAGATTATCAGCGGATAGTGATTGCTAATTAATCAATGGAGCTAGTTAATCAAAAGAGGTGCGGGGGAGAAAAGAGAAGAGTATCGCAGAGAAAGGAGAGACGAGAATTCCAGAATACAAAATATTGTATTGTACATTCGCATTTTATTATGTCAAATATTGTATACAGTAAAGAAATTAAAATGAAGTAAAAAGTAACGTTCAATTTTAAATTGCAAATTTTGTTTGCAGGGCAATATTATCCATTTACATTTTAAAAAGACAATAAAATAATAAGTTTATCAGCGAATAGCGATCGCTAGTTAATCAATGAAAACTTAATTACCATTTCTCATGGTAAATGAATTGTTTAATTTTATATTTTCCGAACTGCTGGCAAATATCAACGGCTGCGGAAAATATATTTCGTATCGGTTTATGTAAAATGAGAAAAATCTGACATATATAACGATACAGTAATTATTTATTGGATTGGTGCATGGATCGAGCTATCTACTTTAATATCTGTGTAGCTTACGAGATAATTTCAAGATTTAAAAATTAATTGATAAAATTTGAATTACGTTCCAATATCGCGCATATTTTCGACGATAAACAATCTACGTTGCTGATAACACCATGCACGCGGAAAACACCCTGGATCAACCGCGAGACCG